GAGACTATGCAGTCTCTGGGGCAATGAATGTGTCTTTTTTCTTACCCTGTAAATTACCTGGCATTCTTTTGGGAGCCATAAAAACAAACAGGAGACCCTTATTCATACCAAAAGTGATCTTTCAAAGAGCTATGGAGAAGACACTAATAAAACCTTACCTGGGAAATCAAGATTTTACTATGGCTACTTATGAGAACCAATAGATCCCTCTTTGCACCAACACCACATGGAAGAACTTCCATTGTAAGGAGGGTGAGAGAAGCACAGGAACTTCTGGACCGTAAAAAGATCTTAACTGTTATGTACAGAAATAACCTTGTAAGAAAGGACTTTTCAGGTACCACCCCTCCAAACCCAGAGTCCAGAGATGTGAATGAATAGCCAGGCCTGAGGAAGAGTAGAGTGGTCACTTGTGGCAGTCAGAAGTTCATTGGTAGGGGTGCTGCTAAAAATCCATTCTTCTCCGAGGAATCACAAGGTTTATGTTTTATTTCCCCTTTTGACCCAGTATGTTTTCAGCTTGTGAAGAAGTGGAAGGAAGGCAGGAACAAGATGCACGTTGGAACCCACTTCTCTCAACAGAAGATCTCAGTTCAAAATCCAGAGAAACGAGATCTTATCTATAGAGATGAAGAGATCTCCTTAGGACACTGTGAAGAACGAAAAACCCATTCTACAATGAAGACTAAATTTTGTCTCAGAGCATCCATGTAAATGATTTTTCACAAGACTTCAAAGCACGGAGAAGTTTTTCTCCAGGAACAGTAATAGGTACCTGAAAAAGAAACATGGGGGCTTTTCTGCTTCAAATAAGCTACTCCTACCAAAACATCTGCAATATTAATAGGCTAGGTGAGCAAGCACCAGTTTTCTCTCCTGAAGTACCTGAAATGTAAACAATTTCTAATTCCAAATCATTTACGTTAAAACTTCAAGGCCAGAACCTAACTCCCTGATCCAGCACACACACTTTCATGACATGCATCTGTCTTTTCAAGCCTAAAATACATTATATAAATGTACCCAATGAGTTCAGAACCTTGTTCACTCAGAAGAGAACACTTCCAATTGCAAATCTCAACAGAAAATAAAAATAGAATCCCTTTTAAATAATATGAAGGAGCTGCAAATACTTAACCTCAGGATGAGCATAGAAAATCTTCTTTTTAAAGCCAGAATAGGCCTTTGCTTTTCTATTTATTGGATTTTTAGTAAGATGAGCACTGTTAGTACTGCAAGCAGTTACAGCCTCCACCTTGACAGTCACTTCATGTTCCTGCTGGCAGACGTGAAAGATTCTTCTCCTCTCACTAGCTCGATAAAAATCAGAAGTTGTATTAGTACAATCCGAACACAATTAAATAGTACTTCCAAACCCTCTCTCAGCAGAATGGGGATGCTACTATATAAAGAAACCTGTACGCACACATATATCAGAAAATTTAAATAATAGTTACCTAAAAGAATTTAGTTTTACTGTTGTATTTTTTTACACAAATAGTCAAGAACAGACTCGGTGGCACAGACTGATAGGCACACGGTTAAGACTCAGCTTGCTTGATTAGGCAGAGCTGATATTAGAGGAAACTCCATATGCACTCTCTTTCAGGACAGCAGTATAGTCAGTCGAAGAAGGATCCCGCTAGTCTTCTCACCCAAGTATACTGCAGATGTACAAGGTCCAGCTGCAGATACTTAATTGTATTCAACAACAAGCAAAGCACATACTGAAACCTTACGGCACAGTAAATAATGAAATAAACCTCATCTCTCAAAAAAGCATTGTCTGAGAAGGAGGGGGGAGAAATCAAATGACATTTTTGCAACTGCAGTTAAGATACTGTAAAACTTCAAGAAAACTTAAAAAACCTGAATCTTTCTGTATCTATTCATTTTATGAGTCAACCTGTGTGTTCCAGATTGACTCGCGACTATGTTGACCGAGGCAGCAGTATTTCACAAATCATTAAATCATCTGCAAGTGCTTTCCTCCTCCATCAAACATTCTTAAACCTTTCTCTCTTCACAAAAGCAAAGACAGACAAGATATTGGTTCAGCTAATTCAGCTTACTTAGCGTTAAACGTGGCACGTATGGTGTGATCAGATCACTCACACCTTCAGCAAGAATGATTTTTCTTACGTCAAGTAGAACACATACCTAATAAAAAATTCTGAATTGTTAGTATGAATTAATAAACAAGTCTTCTGTGCTTTTTGTACTTGACAATTACGGTTTTCAGATACGACACTACAGCTAGAAATTGCTCTGCAATTTAACAGCAGGGTTTTGATTTACCAAACCCCTCAGCCTGATGGAGAAGCCAGAATCGAGAGACTGGCTCTCTGATGGTCTTCACCGACGATGGAATTTTGACCCCTCTGGAGTCAATGGCAAAACACTGCCTGGGTCAAGATTTCACTTAATAAATGTTCATCCTCCTCTGCTGTGAAATATGCTTGGCTGTGTTTTATAATGATTTGTCATGTTCTTTAATATGAACGTACAATACACTCACGGAATATTAAACACATCTAAGATTTCAAAAGTATGCACTTATCATGATGCAGCCTGTCTTACTAAGCAAAAAGCACATGATGCTAAGGAACACCATGAGCCTTGCTAGATATTAGATGAGTTTATCTCAACTGTGACAAAAATAATGCAAAAGCTAGCTTTTCCTGTCACCTTAAAAGATTAAGAGACAATGGGTTTTAGAAGTACCTGGTGAATTAATTTCTAAAATAAAGCAATTTATTTCTAAAATAAACATTCATCGTGTCTTAACACAGATTGATGTGCTTGTAGAAGCATACCATGATTTTATTTTTCCTTCATCAAACATGACTTTATACACTAACTTAAACATTCACACAATCACAAGATTATATAACACACAGAACTCATTTGAGTATTTTCTCGGTTTTTTTGAATTATGACAATACACATAATAATGCAGACAGAACTGTGCAATAAGGCCATGTAATATTCCAAGACCCGTATAAGTTAGAAACGCTAGAATGGCGATACTGAGACAATATTTTTTTATTTGACATTATTTTGATTCACCTACTCAAATTCTTAGTATACCTCAAAATTTATTCAATAGTGAACTTACTGATCAGTGAAACTCTCATGGGTTTAAAGAATTGTGGAATCCACGCCTTTTTAGATTTCCAAGTACTTTTTCATTGAAAATTTCCTCTCACTGATCATTCTGTTTCAAAATTATATCTCACAACAACATTTACAGGTTTCAGATTTTTGGCTTTTGTTATACACATTGTATTTTGGGAGCACAATGTCCCCCACTGAAGTCAACTGTTGTACTGTGGATTCTGATCTCCACAAATTTAATTCACTAATGTCATTCCCTGCAGTCCTAAACTATTCCTGTAAAACTATTTCTCCTTCAGCAGGGAAAATTAAACCTTGCTCTAATAACAAGGATTCAAAACAACAGTGAAATACTGTATTTTTCCAACAATTGTATATTTAAAACAGAACAGGTAAAAAAGATTGCAGCAATTGTACTTCATTTTTAACTTGAGGAATATGCTTTACCAAGTTGGTTGTCTTTAACATCTGTGTGGGTGGAAAACTTCCTTATAACTTGTTCCTCTCTCTGAGACTTTTTTTTTCATTAATTCTGACTAGTCATCAAAGTAGCCCAGACATGACTGTGCAAAATTGTCCAAGCTCTGTTACCAGTTAGCCTCATAATCCAACCACCAAGAACAGGGTATTAAAGTGGCATTGGTCTGTAAGTAAAATAGGCTGAACAGTTCTAACTGTGTTGATGGTGCATTTACAACCTCAGTCATTGTTAACTACAAATAAGGCAAGATCACCATTAGCTCACATACTGTAGGACGCCGAGCCATCATCAGATTATGACAACAGAAAATGGAAAATGGTCACTTAACTGATTCATTTCTGTTTTTCCAAATTTGTGTTTGTAAGACATTGGGCTATGGCAGTCTAATTTTAATTTTATCTGTAGAAATATTTTTCTGCAGTAATTAGACAGACCTGGAAAACACTCAAGGAAAGAGGTTTCAGAATTGTATCTTAAGAGAGATATACTCCCTCTTTAGACTACATCAACAGCTCAAAGGAACAATAAACTCAGAGTGGTCAGCCTCCTAAGGATTTTGTCAGTAAAAATGAAATCACCAGATGGAGAGGAGCTGACATAGTAGAAGGAATTCAAATTCCATCCTAACTCTGGAATGCAGTTCCACATTTCTGGAGAGCTCAATTTACATTATGAGAATGGAGAAAATGGAATGAAACTGTTGCAATGTTTTGGACCCTAGTTTCTAGAAATTTTTTATTTTTTATTATTATTGGTTTTAGTCCTTGCAGGCAAAACACCACCGAACTCCCTGCTGTGTTTTGAACTAAGTCTCAATGGCATCAAAATTGGCATAATACTTTTGCCCTTTATTCCTCCCGTTCTCTTGGACCAGATGATTTTGCATTTAACTTGTTCTATGATGCTGAAGTGTTTATTATGCTGATGAAAAATACCTACTTCAGCATACAAAAATACCTGAATAACAATCACACTTTAAGTCAGTATGGTCCTGACAGAAGCCAGGTCATCAATTCCATCTACTGAACAGCCTTTCTTTAGCACTGACAGAATACGGATATTTGGACAGGACGTATCTGTGCTTCCATCTGCCCTGCGCCTTTGTGACCAGCCTGATGTGTTCGGGGGAGGGGGGGGGGAGGCGGATAGAAGGACATTCTTCATTCTGCATTAAAACATGGGACAGCACTTCGATCTCTGAGATGGCTTCCAGGAGTTTTCCATATGGTGCTGGGTAATCACAGAATTAGGAAATCCTAATTCTAAGGCATCCCCAGAAAACTAAGAGTTACTTATATGTGATGGACACCTGCATTTTTGAGCCACTGTAGTGTAGAAATATTTCTCTATTACCTTTATACATACAATTAATGAAAGCGTGGTAAAGACACACAAAACTTACATAGTCATGAAAGGCTTTTGCTTCACTTGAATGTTCACATGTTTCTCGTCTTTCTGGAGCTGCACAGTAGAGATCCCAAAATACACTGCAAGTTAAGAAGTTAGAGAGATGGTGAGAAAATCATTTTAATACTCGTGTAGGTTTTATGGTGTACGCACACGACACATGAATATATAGAGAAATAGACATATCACTTCCTCACCAAGGGATGAAAACCCTTACCTCTATGAAAAAATTTAGCTTTGTAAAACATCTCTGAAGAGTCCAATCCTGCTATCTGATTCTCCGAGGCAAGCAGTGCTGTATTCCTTTAATATCACTGTAGCATAGACGAAGAAGCTAGTCTAAGGTTTAAGGGTATAATGCATATTACTGAAGCTCTGCATTTAACCTCATCCCTCTGGCAACTGCTGCAATTAACTTCCACAAAGCACGGGAAGGGACAGATTTGTAGTAACATAAAAAGGCAAGAAACTGGGGAGAAAACTGGGAGTTCTTCCAACGTCCAATACCATGCTTTAAACAAAAGTTCCCAGAGAAACAGGTGTATGGACAAGAGTCGGAAATAGATGGGTATGTTCTTGGGTTATAAAGAGTGAAAGGAAATTATGGTACTCCCATCAGTCTTCCTCCCCAATCCCCTTCAGATAGAGTTATGCAAAAATCAGTTCGAACACAAAGTTTCTGGAATGAAATTATGTGTATGTTAGAAAAATTAAAAGAATAAAATTTATTAGTGTTTCATAGTGTTTCTTTATTGTTTTAGACTTAACCCTCTGTAACTTAGTCCAGCACCATAATACGGAATTGTGGAAAATTTGAGCACTCTGCTGCAGACGATCAAAATTAAGGATAATGCAGACATCAGAGATACAAGGAACATGTTCTCCTTGCCAGGCTTCCATCACATAGCTAAAAGCTATGAAGGAAAGGTCAGTGAAGAATACACAACATTCCGCGCAGCTGTACGAATCACTTGGGTTTTTGTGTTCAAATGGGACCAATTTCAAACTTGTAAATTCTTCTACTCTTGTCAGTTGGACGTATTCTCTGTATTTTGTATTCTTTCAAACGGAGGCATATTGGATATATTCAAATCATGTGACAACTAATAAATACCATGGCTAAATAGCAGTGACTATGAGCACTCTTTTCTCCTTGGGAATTCTACACACACACACGTGTCCCTGCACAGCAGTATATATAAGCAAATGGTATCACGCATAAAAAAATTACAGGCCAACCCCATGTCTACCCGTATTCTGAGTTGAGAGAAACTGTGCAAATGCAGACACTGCAGCACCAAGCCCATGCTAATGCACGCTGCCTCTCAAAAAGGCTGGTAGCCTGGATTCAGCTAATTACTTTCATATGCTATACCCATGACTAGAATGTGCACTGAAGATTGAGGAAGCTCACCTCTATATGCAGAATCTCTGAATATACCGTTTGTTTCAAATGTAATTATTTAGGATATGTAGAATGATCTCTCAAATGCACAATTTACTGGAAGGTGGTGAAGAAATGCAGACCACCTTCTTTCAAAGATGCTTTCTTATCAAGGCACTATGCAATATGTCTTTTCCTGTATCTAATATCTGTATCTTTTTCTATATCTAAATTTCTGTTCTTTCATTCCTTAACAAGAAAATGGTTCTTGATCCTCATCTTCACATTCCTTTTACAATGTTCACCTGAATTTCTTACCTCCAGCTGCTGGAACTAGCAATTGACATATTCTAAAAATCAGAGGAAAAGAAAATTGATACTTACCACCACCAGGAATGCAAGAATCCTGGGGGCTCCCCCAGTGTGATGTTTTTTTCCCATCTTATCTAAAACAAAACAATAAAAAGAGAGGTGTACATTTCTGTGATCATTGTGACTAAAACGCATTACATAATTCAGGCAGAGAGCAAAAAGAGAAAGAAGAAAAGATTTTGTAGTTAAGAAAGGCTTTATCATCATCAGTCTGGATGGCCATATTACTTACTTACTTTTCTTATTCTAGGAAAGCATATTTTAGAATTTTTTTTTTATTTTAGATTCTGAATAGAATTTTATTAACGATGTATTTTGTATCACTCCACCACTGAAACATGCATTATTTTAAGGTCAAAAATGCATGACTGAAAAAAAAAAGGTTTAAAAAGTACCCTTAAAATGGTCTAAAAGATTTTCCAATTTGCACTAAGGAAAACATAGAAGACACGGAGTTAATGTTACTGATTCAGCAGGTGGCAGTCTTCCCTCCGCATCCAAAGTAAGCCAGTGTTTTATAATCCTCACAGAGTGCTTTACTGTTAGAGGTAATGTGGCAAATACGAGCAGCACCAGAGTTATAACCCAATTTCCCACCACTCAGTGAAAATAGAAAGCTAGTTTGGCTTGGTTTGTCTGCGCTGGCAAGCTCTCCTGAACAGAGCTATATTGGCTATGACTTCTTTCCCACCTAGGAAGCCTGGTTTGCTTAACACTGTTGTCAAAGGAAATGCAGTTTAAAAGAACTCTTACCCTTGACTCCACACTTTTCTTGTTGATCAGTGAACCCATTAGACAACATAATGCATGGTGACAACGTCCTGTCTCTCTGCAATACTTCCCAAATGTTGCATCTTAACTAGGATCACACAACCGTTTTATTAATGCCGTAGTCATGAGTTTGTCCTTAACTACAAAATTAAATAGTTCGGACTACAATAAAGCCCGTGTAACTGCTGAAGAAGCTCTATTGCAAATAACTGGAGGTCCTGCAGAAATCCACAAAACACTGTACAGAAGAATATCTCATGTTAAAACTGGATGAAACTAGAGTGTTGCACGCATTCCAAATTCCTCCAGTTACAACTACACATAGCATTATTTCCTGTCCAATTTTGTTAAAAAAAATTATTCAAACACAAACCATATTCTGCTCTAGAGACAGAAGTAATGGCAGACAATAAGAGGATTATTTTAATGAAATGCTTAAACAGGCTTAATATGAAAGGTATTTAAAGATATATATCTATAAAAGTAAACAAAAGCTTAGTACATAAAATACTATAAAAGGTAGACACAGTGTTCATAATGCAAGAGGCACTGGTAAAGCTGGCATTGTCCGAAAGAGACTAAAACTTTGATTCTCAACTCCAACATGATTTCCACATCCAATTCTTAAGAAATTTAAACACATACAAGTTCTGTCAATAGCTTGCAGAAGAATATGTAGTTGGTACACCTAAAAATGTTCTTTGCACTCATACGAAGTAACCTAGTTTAATTTCATAATGCAAGAGGCACTGGTAAAGCTGGCATTGTCCGAAAGAGACTAAAACTTTGATTCTCAACTCCAACATGATTTCCACATCCAATTCTTAAGAAATTTAAACACATACAAGTTCTGTCAATAGCTTGCAGAAGAATATGTAGTTGGTACACCTAAAAATGTTCTTTGCACTCATACGAAGTAACCTAGTTTAATTTTGATATATTATTTGAATACAACTATTCAAAAATAATTTTGCTATTTAAAAATTATTTTTAAAAGGTAACCTTGAGGCACTATCACTTTTGCTGGTAAAGTTGGCAGAATGAACCAACTGCATGGCACTTAACCCCACCACCACCACGTAACAGTAGTTAGTATATAAAAAAAAATCTTTTTAAATAAAAGCCAAAGCTACTACAAAGGTATTACACACTCTTCAAATACACTCCTCTGAGGCATGACTGCTCCTCACGTGCACTGGGAATGGCTTGGAAGGACTTCTGTTAATCACCAGGAATTACACCAGACGAACACAGTACTTCTGAGAAGTTTCAAAAGCAGCGTAATGAGGAGATGCAACGTACAACCAAAACAAAAAATTGTTCCTGAAGTTGAAAAATCATTCAGTTAAGAGTAAAAATTATGTCTGTGTAGAAAGCCCTCACTATGCCCAAGCAGTATTCATGAGGAAATTACCCAATTCACAAGTCTTACACTGGTCCTTTTTAACAGGACATATTTCATCTTGAGAAATTTATTCAGAGAAGGAGCCTGAAGGGAATGTGGAAGTTTGAGGCTTGTTTGAAGGGGTTTTGGTTTATTTTTCAAAAAATACATACTTCTGTCTCACATGGCAGATGTCAGTCTGTCTGATCACAGAGACTTAAAAAGATTTCTAAAAAATTATTAATTTTAGAAAAATACCCTCATTGTCAACTGTATCGATTAAGCTCATAACCGGTGATTGATTAACTGGGAAATGCCCACCTTCCTGGTCCAGCCAAGCTAATGGGAATTATTCCTCCAAGGCTAGAACCTAACTTCATGGATAGAAAATACGTGGGATAAGGATCAGCTCTTCAAGGAAAACATAACAGCTGGGACACCAAAGGAAAGATTCTGGAGCAGAACAGCTTCTTCTGTTTCAAAAATGTGTGTACCCCATCTGAATTAGCTCTATTCAGCCCTCATAAGCAATGACACGGTTTAGATGAAAGCTAGTTGTGCTAGCCCCTTGCCATTTTGCCAATTGTATGATGAATTGGTATGAAACAGCTGCTGAGTTACTTCAAGCCAGTACTTCATGCTATGTCTCCTGAAAGGAAGTAAATTTGCAGATCGAGATACAAGAGTTATAGCCAACAAACTGAAGAGCTCTCTACTGTCAAGAGATACAGGAAAGTGCTAGCTGAGCTTGAGGTCCTATGTTTTAGAGATGAAGGCAACAAAGCTTTGATGGCTGTACTCCACAAGGACCACAAAACACAGTTCACCTTCTAACTGAAAGATCAGCAGAGGACTTCTAGACCTTACTGACTCATAGAATCATAGAATCACAGAACAGCTCAGGTTGGAAGGGACCTTGAAAGACCATCTGGTACAGCCCTTTGTGGGAAAGGGAGCCTAGATGAGATTACCTAGCACCCTGTCCAGTTGCGTCTTGAAAACCTCCAGTGATGGGGACTCTACCACATCCCTGAGGAGGTTGTTCCAGTGAATGATTGTTCTCACTGTAAAAAAAAAAAAAAATTCTTTCCCATATCAAGTTGAAACCCCTCCCTGTGCAACTTGTACCTGTTGCCCCTTGTCGTCTCCATGTGGCCCCTTATGAAGGGAGAGCCTGTGTCCTCTTTGTAGCCACCCTTTAAGTACTGGAACACTGTGATGAGGTCCCCCCTGAACCTTCTCTTCCCAAGGGAGAAAAGACCTCACTCCTTCAGTCTGTCCTCATAGGACAGGTTCTCCAGCCCTCTGACTTGTGGATCAGTTCTATGAAATTTAAACTAGACACAAAGCATTACAAAAATACAGGAATGTTTAGGACAACCGTCTCTAAGTTATCTAGTAGCAGAATGGATTCCATGATATCCAACTTAAATTTTCCTTTTCTTAATTTTCTTCCATTACTCTTAGCCACGTTTCCTGGTAGATATTTAAGGAAGGGCTCTTAACCTTTGTCATTTATACATATATAGATACTACTGACCGCTGTATAGCTCAGACAATCTCTGTACACTTACTTCTTTTACGCCCCAACGTTCAATTTTAGAGCTACTCTGAACTATCTCATCTTTAACAAAATCCACCCAAACTATTCTGGCAGGTGCAGACTGCCAGAGCAGAGAGGGCATTGAGCCCAAAAAGCCATGCTTTTTAAGGAGGGACCAAACCAATACAAACTTCCTCCTATGCCACCTGGGTGTCTCCTACACCTGAAGTACTCTCACAACAAGCTCGCAGCAACAGGGCAGTTGCTTCTCAACAGCCATGAGCCAGAAAAAGACAAAAACACACGGAAAATCATAACTTTCATTACATCATAAATTCGCTACAAGACTTTTTTTGTGCTTCTCTCAACTGATGTTCTCTTGTTTTGATTCCATATGCCAATACTCGCTCTCTAACAAAAACAGCTGACTCACATGGGGTACAGAGTTGGGGTAGAGCTATTTATGGTTTACAGCCCAGGACTGAATGGGCATTACAATGTTAAGACCTGTCTACCACACAATCAACTACCATTTTTTTTCTGCTGCTTTTACCACTTGCCATTTAACTCGTGCATTTTAGTTTATTTTCTTGAAGCCATATTAGTGCACAGTTTTCTCAATCTGAACCTGTTCGCCCAAATAAAATTTTTTCCAGCTTTCTCCGTATCAGTGTGTCCTGGTTTTGGCTGGGATGGAGTTAATTTCCTTCCTAGTAGCTGGTACAGTGCTGTGTTTCGGATTTAGGGTGAGAACAATGTTGATAACACACTGATGTTTTAGTTGTTGCTGAGCAGTGCTTACACTAGTCAAGGACTTTTCAGCTTCCCATGCTCTACCGACTGAGAAGGCTGGAGGTGCACAAGAAGCTGGGAGGGGGCACAGCCAGGACAGCGGACCCCAACTGGCCAAAGGGACATTCCATACCATGTGATGTCATGCTCAGTACATAAACTGGGGGGAGTTGGCTGGGGGGTGGTGACCGCTGCTCGGGGACTGGCTGGGCATCAGTTGGCAGGTGGTGAGCAATTGCATTGTGCATCACTTATTTTGTATATTCTTTTATCATCATCATCATCATCATTATTATTATTATTTTCCCTTCCTTTTCTGTCCTATTAAACTGTCTTTACCTTAACCCGCGAATTTTACTTTTTTCTTCCCGATTCTCTCCCCCATCCCACTGGTCAGGGCGGGAGTAAGCAAATGGCTGTGTGGTGTTTAGCTGCCTGCCGGGTTAAACCACAACACAGCGGTAACTGCCTCTGGTTCCAACATACAACCATTCACAAGTATTGTCAGCATAATATTTACCCTTTCACAGCTTTGTGTGAAATCTGACACCCCATATCAACTCTATGCATTATTTGTCCCTGCCCCGTGTTTACTGTCTTTTGGCTAGTATTAGTCTTAATTTGAAAGATTTGACATATATACTCATATTACAGTCATTCAGACCTGAGAGTTTCTCTATAACCCAAGACTGAATTAGTTTTAAAAGCTAAGTTTCAAGACACTGTATTGAATGTTTTCTAGAAATCCAAATGACATACCAGTTATACTTCCGCCAACTGCTCATTTTGCAAATATATCATAAAACCAAAATGAGCAAAATGAATCTTGCACAGTGTATTGTTTACAAATGACAGCTGTTTTGGGAAAGCCAAGATGATACTCTCCATTATTTTGTCTCTTATTTTTCCATTGCTTTACCAAAGAGAAAAAACAATTGTCAAAAACATAGTTTATTATAAACATAAACTGATACTACCACAATTCTACCCCTTTTCCTTATCTCTGCTACATGAATTTCCTATAAACACCACAAACAACGCTCCGGGTTCTCACCCTCCCCTCTCCCACCTCCAAAATGTCATCACCAGTATAGTAATTTTATTAGCTTTCGGAGGAGTATTGGTTGAAGCAGCAAATTTTCCTAGTACAACATCTTGCCTATTTTTCCTCACTTCTGCTCACTATTCAACTATTATCTTAAATGTTCTTGTCAAAGAAAGATTAAAAACAATAATAAATCCAAAAGACCTCAATATGCTTGGCATACAGGTATTTTTGTATGCGAGAGTAAATGTAAAAAGCTAAGGAGACATAATTTACTCCAGTCTTCAAAAGTTGTATACAAAGTCTTTGAAAGACTGTGAAAAATAGTAGCTATTGTGTAAAGGTAAAAATTCCATTAGCAGTTGAAAGTATTTAAGAAACAGGACCTACATGGTTGCAGCCATAATTGATTCGCCAGATGAAAAGAAGTTAAGTGGTAAGAAGCATGGTAAGAATACACAGAGACGTCAGCAGTGCTTAAGAGAATGAGAACTGCAAGTGTATGATAGTAGGATGTAAAATACATGACTGCTGTGTATTTTGGAAGGGTACATGATTCACAACTGGAGATATCAACAATAAGTTAGGTGGTCATCAAAGAGTACCGTCAATGCATTCTCTGACATGCACATTTATTAGAGAAAATAGATGAATCTTTCCCCAATGTAGCAGCAAATCACAGAACGGGGATAACAAATCACAGCAAAAATAGTTATGCAAAGGCATGTTAAATGACATGGCAAACTGCCTTCTGCAGAATCAGAAATCTATGCTGATCAATGTAAATAGAAATTCAAGGTTGTCACTGCTGTTTACTCTAGATGAACATGTATTTATTTCACTTGCATACACCGGAAAGTTGTGTAAGGAAAAAAAGGATGGGGAAACATACCTCTGATAAAAACGTCTGGGCTGATTTCTGTGCTCCTACATGGAGCAGATATTCATATACGTACAGTGCTAATCTGAAAAATAAACAGAAAGGACAATATTTAGTATTGTGAATTTGTTTCTTCCTCTTCTTTAGAAACAAGGGATTATCAGAAGTTTGAAGAGCACTCTATTGCCTCTCACAAACCACTATATACTGAACATGTCAAATCTATTATCTATACCAGAACTTTTTAACTAGACATGTAGGTCAAGCTGAGCTGAGGTGTTTAAATAGTAGTTAATTAAATATTATTAAATCCCCAAACTATTTAATGTCAACATTTTTAATGATATTTGGACAAGTGCCCAGTGAGCTAACAACTGACCTACTGCTGCTCTCTATTTACCCACTCTATACCATGCTTACTGTAAATACGATATATGTGTACAGCAACACCGATTATTTTTCCAGATCAAATTTTTTCACATGTGGAATGTGTCAAGCTGTTAGCACACCTGAACAATAGCCCGTGTTCATTCAAAGAACGTGCAAACTTTGGGCTGCATCAGGAAAAGTAATCTCAGCATCCATCCACAGTATGCAGTACAACCATATCTCTCAAGCAAAGTGCACAGTTTTAGATTCATTCAGACCTGTGCATCTAGGAGCTCTGATGTCAACAGAGCTACAAATGACTCTCACAGCTCCTGAAGGAGCCTCCCAAAAGTGACCTTCAGCACCCAGGCACATCTCGTACAGAGAGCTGGAATAAGGATCTCACTGCAGAAAGAGGACTCATTCCCTGAGTGACTACCCACCACAACTTGGGCTGGGAAGCCCTGTTCAGCAACCCAAGAACAGGGGAGCTGTAACAATAACCAATTTCTATTGATATGGGCTATGTAGGCTAGATTTGAAGTAGAAAACCAAAGAAGTAACACTTCCTATTCCTCAGCTGACTCTACAGAGAGGCTCCCGTCTGTCTGCATGTTTCAAGTCTTTCAAAATGAAATCTCGTTTAAAAGAATGATTTAATAATAATGCTTGGAAATTGTCTGTAAAACATTTCAGGAGGAGAGGAGAGGAGAGGAGAGGAGAGGAGAGGAGAGGAGAGGAGCGCGTCTTTTAAATTTGCTAGCAGAACTGTTTTTAAGAAGTAAAATATATTTGCATGCACTTCATGATACACCACTATTCTTATTTGAAACATTTTACTATTCATATTCAAAAACATGTAGTTTAACTCAACAAAATAGAGAGGTAGAGAATACCTATTTTCCTGTTACTGCTCAAAACGTTATGCAGTGTTAGATAACTGTCATCATGGCACTGACAGAGTAGTAATTATTGCAGTAACCTATTAAGTGTGAAATTTTAAAATCCAGGAAAGGCATTCCATAAAAATTGTTTTCATTAGTTGTTTATACTTTGTACATGAAATACATGCACTACTTTACTCTCTCTCTAACTTCAAAAGCAAAAATGTACTTTATTCCTCAAATAAAAAAAAGTTAAATTGATATTTGATTGGTTTTAGTTTCAACCTTGAGAAGGGTCGTATCCACTTTTTAATTCCAGTACTTTACAAAAACAGTTATTTATTAGTTTGTATTGTGCCATATCAACAAATAACAGAGCTCAGTGTGCTAAGCAGAAAGCACTTGGTTCTTCTAATGGAGCACAGTATGATCCAGTGCTCAACTACGAAGCAGCTCAGAGAGGACACAGTAATATGCTGCTGTAAGTACTATGGAGAAAGAGAGCATCATGTATTCTCTAGTCTCTCATCCCAAAAGCACAACTGCATCCATCAAAAAAAAAGAAAAAAAATCTTGTTGACTTAATTAATTTTTAAGCAATAAATGGTTGTAGACAAAATATAAGATCTAAGAAAGATGTAATAGGCAGAGAGGAAGCATTTTCTACAACAGCCAAGATGACCTGAATACCCAGTAATGCTTTAAAGCATCTCATTTGTCTTCCGAGATTCCCTTTTTTGTTCTTATCAAAACATGAAGCCTGCAGTCCAGATAAAAGGATTTGCGTGATCATATCCTTTCTGCCCCTCAAAGGAAAGCGAAACAGCACAAAACACAGGAGTTTATTGCAGGCACACCACCTTTGTAAGTCTGCCATCTGTTGAAAGCTTTAGCAAATACTGCACCTTGATACCCAAATTGACAGCGCAATACTTTAGTATCAAGAAAGATTTGTGAGTCTCATCTCAGGACTCCCGGAGTCTACCTGCAAAACACGGCGCACACAGCTGTGCTCCAGCACAAGTAAACATCGCTACCCTATGCCCATCTTCCCTGGTCCAAAAAATCCAAGATATTTCAACACTGCAAAAAAGACAACCCTAAATCTTTGACTTAAACACACGGAATGTGCTAATTAAGCCTAATTAAAACTATAACAACATCTCCAACTCTTTCACATGCATTATTACATCTTGGTCTAAACATACTAGCAGTGAAATGAAATGGTGAAACAACTGTGTTTATAAAGTGTGGTGAGTAAACATAGCAGATTTCAGGAAAATAATAAATACTCCAGGTTTTAGGCGTCCAAGTTGATCCACCTGTGGTAAATTAAGAGCGGTACCATGCTGGCAAGGGGACTGCCTGGCTCCTGTGACAGGAAAGACGGGACCACCTTCCACAAACAGATGTGAGACAGAAGGCACAACACAAAATAACCTGATTGGGTCTTATTAGATCTAAATCACTGGTCCATCCCTAGTTATTATGCTGTCAGGAGGTCTTTACAAAAGTTAACAACATTACCGCTTCATTCAGAAATAAATGCATTTACCACAGAGATCAAAAGAAAGATACTAATGTTTTACTGTGTTAGTTGCAGCAAAAAGATCAATGGAAACTGATGCTCTGAGGTAAGACAGCAAAGAAACCCAACAAAGATGCAACACTGTGTAACAAGGAAGATTACCAGATATACAAACTTTAACTACAGCATAAGACCAGAATAAGATAAAAATGGCTACAGTCCAAGTGTGTAAAATTAACAGATGAATAAACTATTTAACATCTGAGCAGAAGACTAAGAAAATAATAGTGAGATGGTCTTCAACACCAAAGGACTTGGGTTTGAAGTAGCGTTTTAAAAAGACAGTTTTTACTCATTAAACTGGTGTGAGAAACTGTGTAAAAGCAGCAAGGAAACATATGTTAAATTTCCATATTTGCATAGTTGTTGACATCCCATGAGTAATGTGAGGAAAAAGTATTACCAATCAATTTGTGACAATGCTGAAGTAATTTTTGTTAAAGACATGCCATAGGTCAGAGTCTCCCCTCCCTGCCAAGACAATTAGATTACACATTAATCTATGGCCTGTTCATACATTCACTCTATTTAAAAAAAAAAAAAAAAAAGAAAAAAAAGGTTACTATCTAGCTCTTACTGCTACAGTGCTCATTTTGCTAAGCTGGTGTGTTTTGCCTGAAGTTGCTGCTCTAATTGAACAAGGCATTCATACATCCTACAAGTACCTACTAAACTCCAAAGAGAAGAACCATTTAATCAGTTCCAGTCAACCAGTTATCAGAATATTACCAGGAAATAAACAGTAATCACCCTAACTGTGCTGTGGAAATGACGTTCTTACATGTTAAGGTGGGAAGATGCAATTAGCTTAATGAGAACTTACAACCAAACCCTTGCAGCAGTACGTCCATTGATGAAAACTAGGTGGTAAACTCCCCCAATTCCAAGTCAGAAGGTTAACACAACACCTAACTTCCCATAAAAGTCAGTGAAAACCTAAAAGCAGCACGGAAGATGTTCACCTTATCTGGTTTTGGTATCTAACTTAGGTGCTCTCAGTCACGCTCCCTGAACCGCTCCAGCAAGCTTCATTGACTATAGGTACGGTACTTAACTGGCTGCTTAGATGAACATATGCCTACAGAAGAAGGGCTCAAGTTATTATCACGAAGTCTTTCAGGAAATAATTTGTCCACAAAAGGTAAAACAGTAGTATCTTTGTTTCATTCCATAAGAAGATGTGTACCGAGAAAGTTTCTGCCTCTCAATCTAAGACTCAACTTCAAGCACTGACTTTGGTTTATCATTATGTCTAAGGAGACAAAGAACAAAAGGAGAATGGCCACATTTTTCCATGAAGTTCAAAAGCTGGGCTTAGAAGAGTAAGGAATTGCAATAAATTAGCTTCTGCTTCCTCTTGAAAGCTGCCCAGTAAACCTGCCAGAAGCACGCAACTATTACACACAGCTTCATGCCGTTGCTTTCATTGTTTTATTAGCCACATGTCATAACTAAAAATGTATGTAATTTAACTGAGGGTACAGTGGTGTATAACCATTATCAAAAAAGTTATAAAATCAATGTGATGGAGTAAGAGCATGCAGCTCGCCAGCTTTGGCAGTATGTCAAAGCATGGTTCAGGTACTGTACCTGCCTTCTGCAGCACTGACAGTCAGCTTACCACTGTGATAAGCAACTGCTGCCTCTTTGCCCAAAATCTACGATAGTGAATGACTGCCCATCACAGAAATGTCCCTAGATGCTACCACCTCCTCTGCCAGCAATAGACATTATGCTGTTAACATCTGATGCTGGATGTGGGAAAAAAAAAAAAAGGGGTATCTATAATGGGAATGTTCCGGATCTGAGCGTCACCAAGATAGATCTAGCATTTTTTGATTGTTAAGACTTAATTTTTTAAAAATATTCATATATGGAAAGTTCCGCATACGAAACACCATCCGTGTAACTTTTGGTTTTTAAACAGTAATTAAAAGCACAATGAAAACTAGTAAATCAATATAAATTCATAATTTTTAGTTTGTATGAAGAAGGGTGGACCAGCTGAGCAACAGCAACATTTAAAAGTAGCTCCACAGAAAAGATCTTAAATGTTCCTCTCTGTGTTTCAGCAGACTTGCAATATTCCAAAATCACTACTCTGACCTATACAGAGAAGCAGCTTTTTTTTGTTTCCAAAAAGGTATATAGACTTCAAGTCCAGAGACTCTAGGAATCTCACTCATTTAATATCCAAAATATAAACCTCATTCTCTGAAATAAGAGAAAGTAGCACTGAATCTGTATAAATAGAATACAACAGCTAAAAACATCTCGAATTTGGGGTTTCTTGAACAAATTTTCTTGAATCCATCAATCCAGTACTTTTAAAACTGCTCTGAAAGCTCTTTGATGGCAAGCTGGTTTTGGCAAGTTTCAACTAACAATGGCAAACAATTTTCTTTTTTTTTAGAAAGTTTCATATTTTTAACAGACATGTATGCCAAACCACTCTTCCTCCCCTATTTGATCATACTGGCAATCATTTTCCTCTCTCTCTCTCATCAAACTCGAGCTATACCCAAGAATTTAGTTATGCTTTTTCATTTGCTTAGGCAGGTACGTTAAGAATGGCCTCAACATTACAGTGATCTACCTGCACACACACCCCTAGCGCAACAGCTCTCTCGGGCATGCTGTTTCACCTACACATAATTTACATTTTGGTTTGTTTAGCTTGAGGCCAGCAGACTGCTCTTTTCAAGAGCCTCTAATCATGCCAGTCTACTGTTTTTTTTCCAGCTCAAAACATGATCTGTGTTAATGTTAGTGCTCTGTATCCTATCAACAATGTGATCAGTTTTCTTAGAAACACCTGGGTATTAAAACGAAACCCAAACACTGGTCTGAGGAAACAGTATGTCCCAAAGGAGATACTCAGTGTTCGTTTGGCTACGTGCACTGCCTTTTCTGAGAGCTCCTATCACAGCCCTGCAAACACAGGCAGCATCAAGTGTATGTATCTGACATTATTCATATCCACTTACTTCTTCCTCTGTAGACAGCACAAAACATTCTCCTTGTATGCAGCTGGGGGGTAATATTTGGGGCTTATACCAAGTGCTATAATGAACAGCTGCCTCAGTGCCTTCTCTTAGGCTGACAGTACTTTCTGAGTAAGCTGATCTTCCTCCTTGTTTATTCTGGTTTTACAGATAGGGAAAGCCTTCTCCTACCATAATTCTGGAAAGGTACTCTCATCACCTCTACCTCTCTTCCACTCGACTGCTTGCAAGATGTCCTGAAAATACGCCTTGTTAATTCTGGTCAGCCTCCCCTTGATTATATATACTGCTTCAAGTGTTAAAAACAGTTATAACCTAGTAAGTGTCCTTTCACTCTAATGCTATTAGAAATAACAGCAGGGTTTTCTTCAGCTTACCCATACACTTGCAACTCACAAATTCTTTTTGCATCCGCATTTCACATGTTTTTACTACTTAACCTCCTGTAGATGTCAAGCACTAGTGTAACTATTTCCAGCAACACATTAACTTGTGCACCAGTATATAACTAAACATTGAATAGGTATCTGGTATCCATTCATCTTTTGAAAAAGATCATATACACATGCTGTGGTGGTGTCTGCAGTCTTTCCCACATGCACTTAATTGCATGGTTTTACATATTATCATCTGCTAAGGATGTCTTGGTTTGTGCTAAGATGTCACACTGCACAGTGTTCCCCACTTTACTTTCATCTGACTCTGGTTGAATTTCATAGTCATTTTTGTCTCAGGTCTCAGCTTGTAGAAATTACTACAGATCCAAAGTTCTGCAAAATTAAAACACTCTTCTGTAGACTCCATCTTGAATGGGATAATTTCCATTGATCTCCAAATACTTTATCAAAAGGTAGATTTTCTTTATGACCATTAAGGTTTCAAATAAAAATCTCTGTCCTTTTTGCACATATATTCCTCAAAAAGTTTTCCAGTGGCATTTCACAGGCTTCCTAGCCCATGGTTAAGAAAGAAGTAAGCACCTGAAAGTTTGTCTCTATTTTTCCAGCTATATTTGCTTGTGTAACAAAATAACATACCTTCCTACAAACCTAGCTCTCTTGGGCCACTATAGCTACAGCATTATTCCCGCAATATTCCTATGTGAAAGCTGTTGAACATCTCAAAGGCATCACCAGCTGCAATCCTCAGAAATAAGACTACCTTATTTTCATTTGCAAAAGACAGATGCAAATGAAGAGTGAAACATGCTGAAATTAACTGGCTTTGTATTTTCAGTGTTTATTTAGCTTCCCAGTGCTCTGTGCCTCCAGTTTGCTCAGGTGCCACTTACCTCTGCTTAACAGATTGCGTGTTTCTGCAGCCTTCTCTCCCACCTTCTTGCCTCCCCCAACCTAATGTCACCAGCCTAGAAAGCGAAATCATTTAGATATACCATTCCTGAAGTCATATTACAGACAGTTCTTTGCTCTCTATGCAGCTTGAAAAACTGCGTCCCCTTCCTTCTCCCCTGCACCTGAGGGCCAAGATGTGGAGGCTTACTCCAGGCTGGCCAAACTGATGCTGATGGAAATCTTTTGTCATCAGGGATGAGTTTGCTGTAGCAGAGGAAGCAAGACAAGCTCTTTGGATGCTCTGGTGACTTGCAGAGATCACAGGCAGTAAAACACCTTTATCATGTAATTCTCAGGGCTGTCCAATGTGAAGCCAGTTTGCTGCTCACGTAGCCTTTGCCCTTTTTGCCTCTCCTCATTGAGGGCAAGCTATTTACACTGAAATAGCCCAATTCCTTCCCATACAAACAGAAAAGAAGGCTGAGTTCATCCAACCACCGACACTGGGGGCCAAAAACATCCTCTTCTCACTACTCTCTCGTTTCTTCTCCCTTTCCCAGCTAAGGGCTTAGAAAATTAACCCAACCAAAAAAAGTGAACAGTTTTCCACTTGATGAGTGAGCTGAATCAGCCTGCCAAGGGCCAGAGCAGCCACACAGGAGCAGCAAGAAGCAGGAGCGCTCATTTTAGTAGTCCTGGACTGCCAACACAGCTCTGCCCATACCTGCAATTCCCTCTCCTGGTTAGAATCTCAAACTTGGCATTTTATGAAAATATATGCATTTTTAAGGTAACCTCTAAGTAGTTTCTTGGGCTTAAACCATATAACTATTCAACTTACCATAACTATAAAATATGCTAAATGGCAGTTAAAAAAATAGTTACATGACAAAACACATTTTAAAGTGTAAGCTGAGACTTTTATAAAACTACATGAAGTTCCACCTCTTCCTGATAATAAAGGTGCTAACCTTGGTCTTCCCTGCTGCTTTCAATGGGATAGTAACGGTGTTTTACATGTTATTTTTTCCCTGATACACAATTTGCTATAGTTAACGAGTTTAATGCAATGCATCCTGCCCTGGCAGTAAGCAGAGCTAGCAGCATGGAGCTATCATAAGGAGAGTCACTGGCAGAGAGCAAAGCACAGACACAGTCCTTAGCAAAATGCAAACTTTAAAGCTATACACATGCCACGGGGTTACTGGTAGGTGGTACCTAGCTGAGCAGCTAGTATATGACATTTCTTTATAGACTTAAAACACTTGTTACATATGACAGGAGGTTGCTTTAAAATCCTGCATCAGCAGAAACCAAGGCTGACATTGACCCACGACACTGCAAACACCGGCTTTCACTGCTCACCATTTGCCAGTTGTCACCCACTAAACTGAAAGGAAAAGTTAATTTGCAAAATCTGCCAGTGACTGAAATGTTTTAAAATCATGTATGAAGAAAAAATACAGTTGTATTTATACACCAACAGAGAAACAGTGACTGGCTTCTAATCAATGCCTTGGTAGCATGCACAGGCTGTTGAGAACATTGCCGCTGTACAACCGGTGCTTCAGCACTACTTGCCTATGGCACAGGCAGATGACACCTTCTCAAGGTACAACAGCTTGAGAGGCTACCACCTTCAACGGCTCACAGTGGTCTTTAGAAAATAAGATTTTTCTAAAGCCTATACCCCTCCTCCCCCAGTTCAGAATGGCTTTCCTGTATTTGAAAGCCAAATAAATGTTGGCTTTCCCAACATTTTGGGGGCTAGGCCATTGCCTTTGAATAGATGGGCGAATCTGTCCTCCCCCCAGTGAGATGCACTACTGAGAACTGCAGGTGCTTCTAGCCTGCTTCAGTGCAAAGCCAGCCAGGTCACCTTTGATCAGCTTCAGCAACAACTGGAGCCATGACGGCTTACGTTGCACAAATGCCAGCAAGGGGTTGCCAGCAAGGGGTTACCATGGCTCTGTTGCAGTAATAGCTCCAAGCAGTGGAGTAATACTACCTTAAAATATTACAGCTGTTTCTAAAGCAACTGCCAACCCTGGAGCAGGAAGAACTTCTCCCAATCTACAGCTGCACCAGAAGAAGACAGAGAAGAAGGAGGAAGCACGAATGTATACAGCAAGCTCCCCAAGGATAAGTTAAGACTCAGATCAGCACTGACTGGACGTGCAATGTCTATGCGCCCCCCAAAGCAAGCACAACGTAACTTCATTTTCATTCCTATGAAGAAAACAGTATTTCTGAGTATCTGGCTCCTAGAAAGACCCATGTTTTTGCCAGTAGCTTTCCCAGCTCTTCTCAGGAATTATAGGTTTAGTATCTTATTAAATATGGTGGGTGGGTCCACAACATTGAAGATTACCAGGAATCACTGCTACTGAAACCTAAAGTCTTATCTCCAAAGCTGTAGGGTGAAACAGCGGATTAGTATCTCACTGGTCACAATGCAGAGTGGAAAAGTGAACAGGAGGACCCTGGCCGGTACCACAGACAGGCTGGAGGATCACACTGCTGATCTCCTTTTTAAGAGTCACAGTTAATGTTGGGCAAATATTTTTTTTTTCTTCTTTTACAGCATATCATGGTTAAACCGAGTTGCACGTAATTAGTCAAATAAAGGTTGTACCATTCCTTCCCACTCACTGCCTGCTCTAGTTACGTTTTTAAACTCTGTTAAGAACAAACTCCATACTTGGAGGTTGGTAGGACACTCTGAAGAGCTCCCTTCCAGGTTTCACAAACTTGCACATTACTGTAGGAATATGTCAGCTTACGTGTCAGTGTACCTGCAGGCTGATGGGGCAGTCAACTGGTGACAGATGCAAATCCAGTCATCTACTTGGAGAGCCACCAAGCAGATCCTGCCCAGCCTTTTGGCACACCCGTATGACAACCCATAACTAAGAAAGAGCTGAAGGATTTGGGTTCAGAGGACGGCACACAGCTGTGGCAGTGTCCTGGTTTCAGCTGGGATAGAGTTAATTTTCTTCCTAGTAGCTGGTATAGTGCTGTGTTTTGGATTTAGGATGAGAACAATGCTGATAACGCACCGATGTTTTAGTTGTTGCTAGGTAATGCTTACACTAGTCAAGGACTTTTCAGCTTCCCATGCTCTACCGACTGAGAAGGCTGGAGGTGCACAAGAAGCTGGGAGGGGGCACAGTCAGGACAGCG